GCATTTTCTATACACCGTAAAAATTGAGCCAACATATGTTTAAACATTTTGGTTTCAGAATAAACTGCTTATGAAGAACGTTGTATTAAATTGTTAAGTCTTACCGAAAAAATTTAACATTTAATATATTTTTAACTTCAAAATTATTTGCAAATTATCGTGATTTTGACTAATTTTATAAACATTTTAACTTAAGATGCTTAAAAAAAAAATTCGTGCCCGTGTATCGTAAATATTTTTTAATGGCTTGAATAATTGTTAACGATGAATCTTGAATTAAATTCTTAATTTTTTGATCTAGTGAAAAATTGTCAGTCAGGATTTATAAAAATAAATTAAAGTATCCTTAAATAGGCGCCGCCATATTTTATATTATACAATGTGTAGGTACCATGATGATATAAACATTTTTGAAAATTTCAAACGTATCTAACAACTACGATTATTCGTTTTTGAATTACAGCAAAATATAAAAATTGATTTTGTTAAAATTTTCCGTTTTCCCTAATATTAAAAAAAATGTACTTGGAAATTTACTTTATAGTTTTAACCCCCTGAAGTACCAATATTATTAGATTCACATTCCTACCATTTAACTGCTCTAAAAACGGTGTCGGTCAGGACATTTGCTGTCGGCACCATTTTCATGCCATTTGCGGTCAATTTATTTCTATTTACCTAACTATAAAAAATTTGGATGCTATATATAATATATATAAATGTATTGTATAATTAATTTGTGCTAATAGGTATATATTTACTATTTTATTATATTTAAACTTCCCTTCACACTTTTCAAGGCTAAGGACTGACAGTATTTTCTACTGGCGTGTGTAAAAGCTTATTATTATTATTATAAATAACTCATATAATAATAATACATTTGTCAATCACATTACATAATAAGGTACTCATTTTTTTTTTAAAACCTTATTGCAATTATTATAAAAAATTCACATAATAATACATTTCTCGATCACATTACATATAAACATATAATACTAATACTAAAATTCATTACTAATAAACATATATTATGTACATTGTACATAAACATAACCTTTTTCTAATTTTTAAATAATAGCTATTTTTTTAAGCATTTGACTTAATCATTATCTATTAATGTACTCTATTAATGTTTTTTAATTCTTTCGTCTAATTGTATGTACATATTTTTTTCTCCTTTTACCTTCCATGTTTAAGTAGCTTCTTGCATATAAAAGTTCCAAATTATCAGCCTCTTTTTTAAGACAGCCATACAAACGTTGGTCGTGGTATATTTAATATTTTATCAAGTTAACTATTCCAACCCTAGAGGACCTTTAGTTGTATAAATAATAATAAACTTTTTAAACACATTTTTTTATAATATAATATTATGTACAGCACCTTAAATTTTATAGTCAGGTAAATAGAAATAAATTGACCGCAAATATCCTGGAACCTCCAAAAACTGACGACAGACACACAAGAAAACACATCATTGTTAATTTAATACAATTCATCATTTCTACGAATGAGCTCCCACCATTTAAAATCGAACTTATGGACAAGTAGTCAACTAGTTATAAGCTTATATTTTAAGTAAAAATGAGCAGAGTACCTAATGACAAAATAATTGACAAATATTTCACGAGGTAACACACTTTGTCATTTCATTCATCTAAGCTTAGAATACTTGTACAGTTATAACGTATAAGTTATAACTAATTAACTAGTTGACATTTCAGTTTTGTTTATTAAAATCACTATCGAAAATTTTGTACTTCAGAATATAAAATTCTAAATGTTTTGTAATTCTAAAAAAATAAAAAATAAAAATAGGTAGTGATCACTTTAAATTGTCTAAAAATTTATTTTTAAAAACTTTAGTACTTTTTGAGGTAATAAGTTATTACTGTTAAAAAAATCAGCCAGAACATGAACAATTTTATATTTATATTTACATGAGAAAGTTAAATAATAGTGGTATTCCGTAATTTATAGGCCTGAACAAGATGTTAGAGCTATTGTTGTCACTGACGGTGAGAGAATTTTAGGTCTTGGTGATCTTGGTGTTTACGGAATGGGTATTCCTGTTGGAAAATTAGCTTTATACACTGCCTTAGCTGGCATCAAACCACACCAATGCCTTCCAGTCACACTTGATTGTGGAACCAATACTCAAGTGAGTTTATTGTTTGAAAATCTCTTAATGTTGATTTTTATTATATTTTTGAGTTTTAATTAATGTATTTCAACAGTTACTGTTGGACGATCCTGATTATGTTGGTTTTAGGCATAAACGTGTCACAGGTCAGAAGTATGATGATTTCATTGATGAATTTATGCAAGCAGCTGTGAAACGTTATGGACAAAATTGCCTAATTCAAGTAATGTTTATTTTATATTTACTTTCTAAAATGTTTTGATAGAGTTTAATAAAATATGTATTTTTTTTAGTTTGAAGACTTTGGAAATTCCAATGCTTTCCGATTTTTGGACAAATACCGAAACAAATATTGCACATTTAACGACGACATTCAAGGAACTGCTTCAGTGGCATTAGCTGGTCTTTTCGCTTCTCTCCGTATCACTAAAACTAGATTATCAGACAATGTTATTTTATTCCAAGGCGCTGGAGAGGTACCTAATTCATTTTCTTAGTTCATGACATGAAATGTATTTTCACTTTTTTGTCGACCTTTAATGTATTATATTATATAGAAAATATTGATAAAATACTAAAACTATATAATATTTGTAATACTTAGTTTGTGAAACCAACCAAAATATTAAAAATGTATTCATTCTTATTTATTTAAAACTATAAACCTAACTACCTGACCCGGTATTAATTTTCAACATGAAATTATTTAAAATATATTTTTAATGCAAAATTGTTCACAGGCAGCTTTAGGAATTGCTGAACTATGTGTGATGGCTATGCTTAAGGAAGGTACATCTTTGGAAGAAGCAAGATCAAAAATTTGGCTATTTGATTCCAAAGGTCTTGTAGTCAAAGATCGTCCTGAGGGTGGAGTTACTGGACATAAAGTGGAGTATGTCAAAAATGTAGGCCCTGTCAAAGTACTTGCTGAAGCAATCAGAAAAGTTAAGCCTACAGTACTTATTGGTGCTGCTGCTATTGGCGGAGTGTTTACAAAAGAAATTATTCAGGAAATATCATCATACAATGATCATCCAGTCATCTTTGCCTTGAGCAACCCGACCAGCAAAGCTGAATGTACTGCAGAACAAGCGTACACTCATTCAAATGTAAGTTTTGCCCATAGATAATTTTCTTTAAAATTGTATTAATGGTACAATTAATTTCCTAGGGCAAAGCCATATTTGCCAGTGGTTCTCCGTTCAATCCGGTCACTTACAAGTCAAAAACTTACTACCCAGGTCAAGGAAACAATTCATATATATTCCCTGGAGTAGCACTTGGAGTTATTTGTGCTGGAATTAAGACAATATCTGAAGAAGTTTTCATTATTGCTGCTCAAGTATGGTTCATTCATGACATTAAAGATACATTATTTGAATGTGACCTTAACGTTTATGTTTTAACTTTTTAGACATTAGCAGCACTTGTGACAGAAGAAGATTTAGAAAACGGTAGTCTATACCCACCACTGCAGTCCATACAAGAGTGCTCTTTGAAAATCGCTGACAAAGTAATTGATTACGCATATAAAACTGGTGCGGCCAGTACATTCCCAGAACCAGAAGACAAAATCGAATTCATCAAAGCTCAGCTATACGATTACAGTTATAGCTCAGCACTGCCACCATTGTATGCTTGGCCAAAACAATAATTTTCTTACTGAATTTTTCTTTTTGAAAGCCAATAACTATAACAATAATGGCTGTAGCCCCTTGTTACACCCTGACAAGGTTATCATATAACATATTTACACTCAATATACGAAGTTAGTAATTCTATTAATATCGACAACTATGTTGTTTATTTTTGTTGACATTTTTTTCCATTGGGGTAGGTGAATAGTTTTTATATTTTCTTGGTTACCTTATCTCATTTTATAATAAGTTGTGATGTACATTTCATTTCGTTGTGCAATTGAGTTTGTCGACAGTAGCTGAATTTTGTTTGTTTTTAATTCTATACTTTTTATTTGTTAATTAAATTATTCACACTCAAGAACATAATATTGTTGTAATCAATAATACAGCAATTTTCAAAATAAAATCTTATATATTGAAAAGAAAACCTGTGTTGATGTTTATGTCATCTAAGATGACCACTTCAATATTATTAATTTTATTAGCAATTATACAAGATAAAAATTGGTGACCACAATGTAATATTCTCGGTGCACGATCAAACCGTATACAAATATAAGGTAATTACTTTAATACTCAACACAATATTTTTATTTACATGATTTACATTTTAGTCATTACAATATAACATTTATGGAGACACATTTTTGTTATAAAACAGTTCATATTGTTGTATTAAATCCTCGATTGAAATACCCAGAAAAGTATGAAATTATAAATATATGAGTTATCATTCAAAAAGTGTTAAATACTTAAAAATTATAACAATGTAAAATAGGTTTTTCAAAATCGTTGCTTTCTGACTTAAAAATGTTCATACCATTTAAGAAAAGAAGTTTTTACTTTTAAAAGAAATTCTTTGTGTACTTTTATGTTGGCCGGGGAAGTTGTCAAGTCCATCTCTCTAAATTGTTAATACAAGTGCATTATTATGTATTTATCAAGCTTAATTTTTGTCTCAAAAATATCATTGAAAATACTAAATATGGTAATATACTTAAGTACTAATATGCATATATTTAAAATAACATATTATTTGAATGATCAATAATAATTAATTTTATTCATATCAACATAATTACATAATTAATTATACTAACAAGGTGGTCAATGAATGTCGTGTCTGTATAATACGAATGAAGATAGTCTACTTAGATACAGAAAAAATTATTGCCACATGCATGGATTATGTGTAGCTGAACCACAGAATGGATTAATAGATTTAATCTATTTTGTGTGGCTAAACCAGCTTACAACCTGTTCTAGATTGATTGTATTGATAAATTATATTTTCTTACTATTCAATATTCAGTGTCAGAATACATATTATCTAATATTTCCTCAATTCTAAATTATATGTGTATAAACATTGATAATAACAAAATTAAGCATCAAGCAGGAACTTTGGATTATGATCATGTAGATTATTCTGCTTATTTAACAACTGCAGAGATGAAAACTTAAAGCGTTACCCATTAAGGCTTGGAAGTTACTGCATTTGCATTTTAGGGCAATTAGATTTATTGCTAAGGTTGAAATTAATTTCAAGATACTACAAAAAAATTATTTTACGTTTATAATACATATTTAGTGATTTTTTTGTTTTAAGAGCATATTTGGTGATTAGATATGTTTATAATACAAATTGAAGATTTGACAAAAAAAAAAAAAACTTATTAATACACATTTATTTTGAATATCTACTTCTCATTACTAGCTATTGTTATTGTATCGTGGTTTTCAAATATTTAGTTGATGTAAAATTTCCTGTTATTATTTATAAACATTTAGTACAAATTATAAAATATAAAGATATGATTAGAATCCAAAACGATACAATGACGAGTAAAAATAATGTTTGCTAATAAGTCAATTTACTCTAATACTCTAAGTCTAGACAATATTGGTTCTGCTCTGAATTGAACGGTAAGAATCCAATTCACAATGACATACATATTAACCACGAGTTTCCCCATAGAAGTTTTGAGAAATTTAGACACATATTTAAGTATAATAATATAATGTTAATAATCTCGACACTAAAAAAAAATCATGTTCTTAACAAAATGTTAATAATCCAAACAATAAAAAAAAAAAAATATCTTATCAATTTAATGTAATAACGAATCTGATTTAAAGAAAAAAAATCAATATTAACTTGTTTATAGCTTGTTGTTTAAATCATAAAAAATAACTTATAAGAATAGTTAAACACAAATTGCTACTTTTGATACAACTAAAAATTATAAAGCTATCAATAAACCTATTATTAAAATAAGAAATCAATCAATGTTTATGGTTCCTTCACCCATGTACATTTCAATGGAACTTATGGTGTGAGCAGTACCTATCAACTCAAGACAATCCTCATATAATTCAAAAGGTCGTTTTACATTATTAAACAATAGCTTAATAAATGAATATAAATAATTTAAATGCTGATTTAAATTATCTTCTGTTTCCACTGACTTCGTAAATTCTACAAATTTTTTGCACTCCGATGACACAATATCTGCCATACTTGAGTTCAGAATATTTCTAAAAACATTCAATTATATTTATACATAAAAGAAAATTATATAATTTAAGTATATAACATACAGTGTAGAAAGACGATTAGGTATATAATGACATGTTGGCCAATTCTTTATGCAAGGCTGGCAACAGCATTTAAAATAAAAACATTTGTTGCAAAGATCTTGCCTTGATTCCTTATCATGTCCTCTAAAGATTATTCCATAAGTGCCGCACAACTAGGAAGTAACAAATTCAACAAATACATTAGGTGTTAATTTAACAATATAATTTTCAAACTAAATATAAATATAATAGATATTATAATCAAACATCATGTAATGAGTCACAAAAGAGAATGTTTTAACATACTGATATTTCTGTTGTATTTTAAACATATCAGGTGAGATGTGTCTAAAGACTACTAGAAGTTTGTAAAAAAATAGTACTATATAATGGCAATATTTCACTATTGTATCGTTTTTATAATCAATATAATACTTTATAAGCATAGTTTTATATGACTTGCAAAAATAAAAATAATGACGTGATATTGTCATTCATTGCTTTAATTATCATCAAACCAATGAAGACTGATGCTACTATTTACAAATGTAGAATTGGGCAAATTTAAAATTAGAACCGTCAAGCGAGTACATTTAGATAATTTACCCTCGCAACTATGTAAGACTCTTTTACAAAAGGTATGGTGCAAAAACACAGTATGCATTACTATAGAGGATGGCGTCAAACACAATGCATCCCCTGTTCATTACTAATAGTACATGATAGTTTTATGGTATTTTTAGGTTACAATTTAAATTTTTTACTATAAATATCTATTACATTATTATCTGTAGTATTTATTTATTATAGTTGTAACCGAGGGAAGTGGTGTGTGACCACTGCATTCCTAGTGGTGAAATACATAAAATAATAGTAATAAAAATATCTAAATAATCACCTGAGTTCCTTTGGGTATTGGTTGAATTGCTTTCATAACTCTTATTCTACTAGATAACTCTCCACTCCGTTTTATATTTGGATCACAAGAATGATTGAACAAGGAAATGGTTGGATACAAAGTTAATGCTATTGTAAGAGTAAGTTGGCTTTTTCCTTGAAAAGATAAAGTAGGGGCATTGATGTTTAACTTTCTACAATTTAAATCTAAAACAATGAGAATACGCACCAAGGAAGCACCTACAGTACCTATATAACGTTCTGGGATTTTAAAGCCACTTAATACCAAATAATGCAACATATCAACAGCAATACAATTTAAGAAAAACAAGATATCTATTGACAGTTTGCTTTCACTACTATCCAAAGAATAAGCTGTCAAAAAATTATCAGACTTATATTGACCTGTTTCATCAAAACCTCTTGTTTGAGGATCAATTTTAGATTTAGAAAAATTATCAACTATCGAACAATATTTTTTTAAACCCATTTTCAAATAGTCTTTTAAAAACCACTTCATAGCAAGCTCATTCATTCTTGTTACTCCTGGTGTTGATTTGATGAAATACATAATTGGACATTCCAAATAGTGCCCATCTTCTTTAGCTTTATTCATACAGTCTTTATTGCAATAATAAACCTGAACAAAGTTTATATATTTAACATAATATTAGCATATTTTTTTTAATATTAAGTTTTAGATATATAACAATAGGTATGTAGTAGAACTGTAATTTGTAATTTAAGATGTTTATGTTGGCAGATAAATCAAAAAAATCATTAGTTAATTTGTAAAGAAATATTATGTGGGTGTATAGTCAAAATGGTTAAGATTGTTTCATCCGTTTCAGGTTTAACTTATTTGGTTCTACAAATTATTAAATGACTTAATCGAAATAATACCTAGGTATGTAGGTGTATCAAATTTATACAATGAACCCCCCCCCCCCGAAATGTTAATAAAATTTAAAAATTATTTTAATGGTCTATGGTATTCAATCAAAAACTAAACCTGTGTAAAAAATTGGGTAATCGGTAAAAAAGAACAAAGAAAAAAAAGAACAATTTTTAAAAATTTTAAACAGTGTCCTACGAATCAATATTTAAAAAAAAAAAAAATTAAATATAATGCATAGACACTTATGCTATAATTTTGGTATTTATTATGATTATTATAAAAAAAATATGAAACATAAATTTTTGATTTAGAACGTTCATCTAACTCGGAAACACCTCGAGCATAAATCTCGACTGGATTTGTACAGGATGTCTTAGCCATTCATTTCATTTTTGATACTGCTTTCACAACCTTTACTTCGGATTGGTTTGCAGGATGATTGTGTTCTGATGTCACGGTAGGATCAGTTTTCAAAATACTAGTCCTTAGTATTCCAGCACAATTTGTCGTATTTTTGGTCAAACATTTCCATGTAAAATAGTTTTTACCTTTGTGCTTTGTGATATAAGTATATCCTTCAAAAGCTACTTTTCACCTCCTATATTAGATTTAAAAATTTCCATTTCAAATGTATTTAAAAATTGAAGTATAAAAATTTAATGAAAACACTTGAACACTTCAATGACTGTCAATAGACTAAAATATGTTCACTCAAATTATAGCTCTAAAGTATGAAAAGTATACAAGGGAAATTTCCAATAATAAAATGTTGTTTTATATTTTACCACTAGTTATATTTTATGATAAAGTATGAAAAGGTCACCTATAGTCAACTATAAGGGCACTAGGATTACTTAGGGCATTTCCAGTAATAAAAATGCATCTTACTCTATATTATTAAACTAAGCTTTAGTGTATTTATGTTTCATATTTTTTTTATAATAAATAATAATAATAAATAATACCAAAAATATAGCACAAGTGTCTATGCATTATATTAAAATTTTTTTTAAAAAAAATAATGATTAGTGGGACACTTTTTAAAATTTCTAAAAATTGTTCTTTTTTTCCTAGACTCAAAAAATTGATCAGCCCCCCCCCTTCGAAAAAAATCCTGGGTACGCCACTGCAATGTATTCTAATATTATAAAAACATACCAATAAACATTTTGGACAGGGATAAAGAGCCAAGCCCAACTTCAAGCAACCATTATAATGACAAACTTCTACATGATCTGAAATAGGTCCACAAATGTAAGGTTCGTCTATGGCCACAACATCACCTAAAAATGAACAGGTAGATAACATAATGTCATTGCACAAAACTATTGTTTATTAAAAACTTTGTTTGTTTTTTTTTATTTAATAAATACAATTATTCTCCTAGACTACAACAATTACTTAGGAACACATATTTAAAAAGATTTTATTGTAACATTTGTAGAGTTCAAAAAATGATATTAATAAGAGAAGTCCAAGGCCAAAAATTAACATTGCTGAATTAAAAATCAAATACATCCGAAAAACCTAGAAGTTTATCTGAGCTAAGTATTATTGGTGACAAAGCAACAGGACATTATATAAAAATCCACATTTTGTATGGTATGGAGTGGCCTGGTTCTGATGAATGAAATCTTAGAGCAATGGTTTGCATTATTTATATCACATGCCTCATCACTGAAGCAAATATTATTGGTCTTGTGATAATTTATTTTTTAATGTCCTGAACATTTTTTACAACTATCTACCTATGTTATAAGAGTAATACAAAATTATATACTTATTCGTTACCTATAAGTATTGTTAATTAATCACAATAATTAAAACACAAATAACTTAATAATATATTATAATACGGCAGATTATTAAGCTGAACATTGATATCTCAAATTGTTCGTGATGTCAAACTCAATTGGAATAATAAACATAACAATAAAACTCGATATCTCGAACCTTCAGCTGTGTCCCTTGAGTTTCGAGATAATGAGTTCACTGTATTACCTATGTAATTTATAATAAATAATATTCAGGTAGTTATGTTATTTATTTCTCAACTTTTTTACGGTTTACCGCCAAAAGTAGCTTGGGCGCCAAAGATGTCACTTACCAGGGTTAATGTCGCGGGTGGCATAAACACCTCTTCCCATGTCTTTGGACATTCTCAGTTCCACAAAGGCCGATAGTGCTGGAATACGTTCGTTTCTACCGCCAATCAGCTGCTCATCGTCGGGTCGAGGTTTTTTCGGCTTCTTTTTATGTTCAGCCAACACTTCATGGCACTCGGTCGAGGCCTTTTCGATTGCCGCCCGGAACTTGCGCTTGTTCTCCTCAGACATATCCACCTCATCCAGTAGCGTCAGGCACATGGCGTAGCTTTTTATCGCCCGTTCGATCAAGCCAATCATGCGTTCTGCGTGTCCGGCCCGCTCGTGCAGTTTGTACATGAGCTTGGACGGGTAATTGGACCCCATGGCCCAGTGCGCGTCCTTTAGGCTAAGCTCGTACTTGCCCAGGTGGAAGTACGCGGCCGACCGGTTGGCCAGCGCGAGCGCGTGGCACTCCGTGTACGAATCGCTACCCATCAGACATTCGGTGTACAATTCGGCGGCCTTCGCGTACTGCTTGGCTTTGAAGAACTTGTTGCCGTTTTGTCGTAGGTTCGCCGAGACACTAGGCTTATCGTACTCCATGTCGACGTACAACGTCTGCCTCTGCAACTTGTGTTTGCGAAGCAAGGCACGTGTGAACATGAACCGGCTGTTAGGCGAATCCAGCTTGGAAAAGTCCACGTAAACGTCGCCCAGCACATCGGCCATCAACAGCCGACTGGAGTAGTGCAAAAAGTTGTCGTATTCCATGTCGGACGCGTTACTTGTCCAGTCTAGATTTCGATTCCCGACGGACGGCAACCGCAACACCGCGTAAAACCTCACCGCGAGGCGACACACTGGGCTACAGACAATAATGTGGGCAAATGTCGATTAACGGACATCGCGGAATACGGGTTTGCCAACGTAAATCGAGCGCTACGGAATCGTATGAAATCGTTTCTTTTTTTGTGCGGTGTTGTATGCACTATGCAACTTTACTACTGTTGGTTGGCGTTTTTTTCAGTCGAATATTTTCATTTAATTTCATAGGCGACCCACTTCTTGAAAAAGCCACGCGTGTTGCGTGTATGGAATTATGGAAAGCGTAACAAGAACAACACCGAGGCACAGAACGTGGTTTTTGATTACTTGATTACTCGCACGCATGGTCGTGCGGGGTAGTAGGATAAGATATATGGGTTATTTTAAGTTTTCGTCAAGACAGCCTACATCACTGCGAGATGTTGTTACGGTTCCTGTCTATAATAGTAGTTAAGATCTACTAGTAGAGGACTTCAGGTCTGTGTTTAAATTACTAAAATATTTAGGTTTAATACACTATAATTGAAAAATATTATACATTATTATATTTTATTTACAAGATACGTCTGGGGAAAACCCGTTACACTAGGTTCAATCTAAGAACGGTAATCGGAGGCCAACTTGTGCGCAGGGGCGTGGCTTCGTTCCAAAGCAGTAAGCACAGGTCTAGAGCTTAGACTCGGCAGAGGGAGTAGCGTCTAAGCAGTAAGCACGGAAATACAGAATATTTATAAAAATATATATTCTGTATTTCTGTGGTCAGAGTATCAGGAGTATCTGCTCTGCTGTCTGGCGACTGTCCGTTTCACTGTCGCAGCCGACCACGATTTAAGATTCTATACCTATAACATACCGTTCTCTATATTGAATACATCTACTGATCAATATTTATAATATTTATAATATTGATCAATGATCAGTGGCGAATACTGACTCCGATGTATGGTCATGCTTATTTGCCTAATTGTACCTATTGTGGAATTACTCATTTATCCCAAGATAAATTATTTCAAAAAGATTTTATAATACTTTCAATTTATTGCCTAATAAATTCAATTTTATTTATAATTAATTAATGGTACACTAATTAGTTTTTATTTATAATGAGACTTTCAACAAATGTTCATACACTCATACACGATATTTTTCATGTGCGGCATTTAAAAATATTCTACGACTCTACGTAGTGTTTACATGTAAAGGGGGTCAAATTTTAAGTTTTTTTTCTAGGTGCATGTGTTTAATTGAACTTTGAACTGTTCAACTGTACCTAACATATATATAACTATATTTTATTCCCGCGGAAATTGCTTTTTATCACGTCGGTTTTCATATCTTAACCTTTTTACTTACGATAAAGACGGGAGGCAATTAGTAAGCACCTGTTATTGATTCATCAATTATAAAAAGAAATGTGGCAATTTGCCACTGGCAAAGTGGACACGTTGTAAACAGTACTGACAGTGACGCGGTGCTCTCGATGAAGTTAAATTGTAAATTGTTGTAATTTTTATATTGAAACGAAAAAAAATTAAAAAATATATAGTTTTAATTAGTTTCGAAGTTATAGCTATTTGAAGACCTAGACCCCACCCCAGTTGGTTTTAGTTTATAACATTTTACACAACAGTCAACAAGTCGAGAAATGTTTTCGATTTTATAATTGTCCGAGCGAGAGCAATTGATCACGCCGGGTGTATATGAAAATACTCTACATTTTAATTAGATATAACTTTAAAACTGAGTACGACTGCCAAATTCTGACTTCAGCATAGTTTTCATCATGATTAACTACATACATTGAAACAAGAGATTGAAAAAAAGGTGTCCAGTAAAACAGAAAATTACTTAAAGAAACTAACGACGATAAGGAAACTATATCTATAAAGGTAGCCATGATAACCAGCTCCCAAAAAAGACTTCGTGATTCTTTTGTTGAAAAATAAGGTCATAAACTCATAAAGAATAAGAGAGTTTAAAGTGTTAATTGTATCTGTCAAAGATAATCTATGAGCTTGTGTAAAAAACGTCCGGCCGCAGATAGATCACATCTGCATTTTTTTAAAGCAAAAACTTGTGGCGGGATTAGAACACATTTAGTTTACAATATTTATGTAGAAGATAAATAACATAAAGAACTGATTAAGAATTAATAACTTTAATATAGATGGTTGACTTGATCGTTACATGAAATTTCGCAAATATACNTTTTATTTTAAATATTATTACTTAGTAAGTGATGTAAAAGTATACACACATTTTTTTATAAGAACGGTTAAAATACTATTTTTTATTTTATAATCTCATGTTGTTTAAAATTATAATTAGTTTTATTTATTTTCATGAGCTCATGTATTAATTAGATAAAAACTAAAATTAATAAAGTATTTGATAAAAATAAAATAGTTGAAAATGTCCTTACCTCAATGTGACAGCTAATCTTTCTTTCGTAGAAATTGGCCTTCTCATATTTGTTGTTTCCTTTTTAACACTCCTTTTAATTAAATCATGCAATTCAAAAAAGGACTTGGAGGACATGCGAAAATAATTTGAAAAATTTTTGTTCACTTTTAAGTAAATCAGTAAACAAGCATGTAAAATGTCCTTTTTCATTTCTGGATTGAACAATAGGATGTACCCAATAAATCCTTTCAGTCCTTTTAGCTGGTTTATTTTTTTTTTTAATAAGAGAATACAACAGTATTGCCTCCTCCACCTTCATGATTACGACTAGTCGGGAGTACGATTAATATGCACGTACAATACATAATTAACAGACACTAGTGTACGGCAAGTGTCTCGTGTGAATCAATGAGACACTTTTGTAAACAGTAGCACGATTCTTGTGGTCGGCCACAAAGTGTCTCGTGTGAAAAAGCTCTAAGTCGGTAATTTCAGGGAGCCGTTGTCCGTTGGAAATTAATAATTATACTTTTTGAAAAAAAAAAATATATATATTTAATATAGAAACGGGTCCCGGCAGTTGGCAGTTGAAAATTTACCGATTTAGAAATCTAAATACTGCCGACTGATATTGTCGGCTATAAGGAGTAAGGACCCGTATTATAATACTATAATATATGTATTTGTTTTTGTACATTGTACAATGTTAAGGCCGTCGGCATATCATTGCCATCGCTAATCGGCATTCGGCAATCCCTATCTCAAGTACCCGTATATAATCTATTTTGTTAAATAATATGATGTACTGCGCTGTCTGCTAAATTAAAAAAAATTTTTATTTTTTACTTAATTGTTTGAGTTATTGACAAGCACTGGTTGATTTATATTCGTACACGACTTATTTTTTAAATCTTAAAATAGTTCCGACAGCCTATTGTATCTTCTTATTCTTTACATCTGTATGAAATACAAGTAACAAATATTTTAACTATGCATAAAATGGTTTAAAATGTTTTAGTTCCATATTTTGTTTTAACTATTTTACTTCATCTTAACACAGAAAAACCAGGAATTTTTATACTTCACGTATTTTTTTTTAGAAACTTTGAGTCGGCATAAATTAAATTTGAGTCGGCAATACTTGATCCCCCCCAACAAAATTGTGTAACGCCGGCCCTGTATGTCGTTCAAATAATTGTTGAGCTGTAATAGTTAAACTAAAAGCTAATAATAAAAAAAAAACAAAAGGTAAGTATAATTAACATTGTTTTTCATTAGGTAATCATATAAAATATTTATGGCTATAAGTGACACCGGTACTTGCAGGTATTAATTTATAAATTAAATGACAATTATAAATATTAAATAATAATATGATATGATTATAATATTACATAATATATGTGAGATTTTAGTCTACAATTATAGTTCATCATCCAACTTTTAGCATGACTAATAGTAATTTAAATAAATTATGAAATATAAGTTTAAAAATAGTATCTGATTCGTTTTTGTACCTATAATATGCAATGATTTATATCGTTTTTAATTAAAATTCAACACATCCATTGCAATTTACAACTCAATTACAAGATGCAGTTGAAACCACGGTTTTATAGGTAGTACTGTCTAAAACCGTGGTTGAAACCGACTATACAACAAACTTCGACTAATTTTTATTTTTATGTATGTTGTTTAATTTGATTTGAAATATTTGAATTATTATCAGTTGAAAACCATTTGGAACGCGTACTGACCTCTACCGCTGCCCATGTGAAGGAAGATTAATTAAGTTAATTTTCCTAACCCTAGGGAGCAACCTCATCACAGCAATAGGCTGGTCGCGCGTCTCACACCTTTCTACGTGGGGGGCGTTTGGATGAGGTTTGTAAGGCATTGCTGCCGCCTGCCGGTGTTTCCGGATCACTCTTTCTGGAAAGTTCGCACTGTCCCTCCTCTATTTTATCCTCCTGGACCAGAATTTCTTCAGCCTTAATCTCTCGTTCATCTGCAGAATATTATATTTTATAAATCTACGAGAGATGGATCCTAGGGTTGTCGATATTTTTTTTTTCTTATTATGTCCTTTTACGAAGAGACCATCAATATGTTTTTACGAACACCCAAGACCGGCCAAAACAATAAGCCAATATTAGCATAATAACTACTCATATAAAAATAATAATATATTATTTATTTAACATAGCAAATATAGTTCGATATTTACAATGATATATTATATAATAAATATTAATACTAATAACATGTTTGTAACTCCCCTTTAAGCTATTAGCTTCTTAAGATTAGCTTATGTTGGGGACATATATATTATAGTTAATAAGTTTGAGTTAAGTGAAATATAAAGTAGGTACAATACTTAAATCTCATATAAGTACAAATAACTAAGTGATGTTCACAAGAATAAAAATGTTTAACAAACGAAAATATCATCTAGACTAACGACGTATAATATTTATTTTTATTTTTATATCGAGTATATATTTAAAAAAAAAATATTTAAATAAATATAAATTGTTAAAATAATTATAAATATTGATCCACTAAGTCATCCACATACTTGGGTACTTAAAATAATAATTCGGCAGATAAATATTGATATTTTATACATGCGTATGTCATTTCTCGCAGCACACCTAGGTAGTCGATCTCGCGGTACACCGGTTGAGAATCACTGATCTAGACACAGCTATCTTTTCCTTTTTATGCAGCACTTCCAAACCATAGGCGCAAATTGGTTAAATTGTTTGGGGGGACTCAAGCTTCCCTCCACATAGGCTATAATATAAGTACTAGTTACTAGATTTTT